GCCATTAAAATGTATTTTAGCCCATGTGGTGAAATAGTTTTGATATGTCTGCTGTGAAGAGTTCCAGACAAAGTGTGTTTTCTATTGCACCACTGTCAATAGGACGTGACTTCTAAAAGTCAACAGACCATCCTCAGACTGACTGAAGGGAGGGCAAGACTTGATATGTATGCGAAATTCTAGTTGGGTTCGGAAGTCATAGGTTTACTAGGATATCACATAACCATCAGGCAGAATTTTACCTCAGTGTGTAATCATTTCCTAGTACATGAATAAAACTAGTGTAGTCTATTGACTCCTGTTAAGAGAACCTGACAAAATACTGTGTTCTTGTACTGAAACCAGGGAGGTAGGACCAGTGGTGACATTATAGTTCTTGAAAAGTCTTCGGTAGCATCCAAGACATATGTATGGCAAGAAATATTGTGTACTGAAGGCTTATTCAGAGAGCTGTCACTACATACAGTATTACTTCTCAGGGCCACCTGAGGCCACATTTTATTTCTAGCTCAGAGCAATAGGCCTTTGAGGGTGGCCTACAAGTGGACCACTCACTGGAACTCCAGGAAGAGAGACAAAAAGGCTGGTCCCTAGGATTCACAGATGCGGGTATCAGAAGGCGGATGCTGCAATAGGATTTTATTACTTGTTCCCCCCCTTGTTGGCTATATAACTCTCTTGCTGGAGGTGCTGTTTTAGTTCCCACTCATTGTGACCAATATGGAGTTTCCCTTGTAAATTTTCTTCCCTTCTTGGGTTGTCTGCAGGAAAGGATAAGAGGCCCATTGTCCATAATCCTCTGTTTAACAGTATTCTTTGAGAGACTGCAGGCACAGGGCCAAATCCTGCTTGCCTTACTCATGTGAATAGTCCCACTGACTTCAATGGGCCTTGTGAATAAGGCAGCAGGATTTGGCCCGTAATGATATAATAGGATTTTAAGATTTGTTCTCGGGTAAAAACACGACATGTACTTTTAGGGCTAAACCTTTAAGGTACTGAGCAGCAGCATACCCCATTGACTTAACTGAGGGTTGAAAGCATTTAGCATCTTTCAGGGGTTGCTTAGCACTTCAAAGATCAGGACTTTTGTTGGTATCTCAGTTTCGTTCATTTATGCAGTTGGGTCCATTGATCTATGTGTGGAATTTGCATTGATACTGCTTAGGCAAACCCAGACGGGATATAGCCTTTTACATTTTTAAAATACCAAAGAGAAGCAAATCATATATTCATTCACAATTGACAAGTCTTTACATATAGCCAGTGTCTTTGTAAAATCTATCGTAGGAATTCACCCACTAGGTTTTTTTAAAGTACAGTTATATTTTGTGATACTCAGTTGTGCTCAATATTTAGTTCTGTTATGTGCATTATCCTGCTGAATGATCAAATTAAATGCAAACTAGAATTTGAATGTCTGCAAACATTGGCAAGAATCTGCAGCTAATTTTAGATGGAAGATTTGCAGTGTCTGTTGTTTTTCCTGTTCATTTTAGATGGGTAAGTTGTAAAAACATTGAGGAATCTGACCTGCTTTTTTTCCCCTTTTTGTCTAGGTTTGCAAGGCATGCCAGGGGACTACGTATCTCAGGGTGGTCCTATGGGTATGAGTATGGCACAGCCAAGTTACACTCCTCCCCAGATGACCCCACACCCTACTCAATTAAGACATGGACCCCCAATCCATTCATATTTGCCAAGTCACCCCCACCACCCAGCCATGATGATGCACGGAGGACCCCCTACCCACCCTGGAATGACCATGTCAGCACAGAGCCCCACAATGTTAAATTCTGTAGACCCCAGTGTTGGTGGACAGGTTATGGACATTCATGCCCAATAGTATAAAGGAACTCAAGGGAAAAATAAAACAAAGACAGACAGAAACTATTTTAAGACTTTTGAACTTTGACCAGATGTTGACACTTAATACGAAATTCCAGACAGCTGTGATTATTTTTTACTTTTTGTCATTTTTCATCAACAACAGAGGACCAACGAAACAAGAACACAAATGTGAAATCATGGGCTCACTGAAATGAATATGTCCATGTACAGATCCTCTGGAAAAAAAAAAAGACTCCAAGAGTTATAACTACTGTAGTATAAACATAGGAACTAAGTTAACTTGTACATTTCTGTTGATCACTCCGTTATGTTGCCTCAAATAGTTTTAGAAGAAAAAAAATCCTTGTTTTCCACACTATGTGTGTTGTTCCCAAAAGAATGACTGTTTTGGTTCAGCAGTGAAGTCACTATACATGAAAGACCTGTTTTGGCCAGTGAGAAAAGAACTACCCTGGAGATGAAGACAAAAAGTCTTGCTGGGTCTCTCATCACTCAGAAGACTGTTCCAAGAAGGCCTTGCCATTCCCTCATTTCATTCCTTCATAAAATGTGTCCTTTAGTTTCAAACAGATCTTTATAGTTTGTGCTTCATTAAGTCTCTCCCCATTCCTTCCCAATCTATTTTTTTTTGGACTCTTCTTCAAAGAGCTTGCAGGTGAAGATTTAAAAGACAGAACAGACAGAGCAGAAGCTTCTTCCAGTAGTTCTGAGCCTTGGCTTTGGACAAAACAAAACTAAAAGTTGGGCAGCTTTCCTAAATGAAAGAAGTTACTAATGGTCTTTGCACCAAACCTAGGACTTTATCATGAACTCAAAGCTTGGGAAAAAAAAAGAAAAAAGCAAGAGAATACTGTAACAAACTTCGTACAGAGTTCGGTCTATTAATTGTTTCATGTTAGATATTCTATGTGTTTACCTCAATTGAAAAAAAAAGAATGTTTTTGCTAGTATCAGATCTGCTGTGGAATTGGTATTGTATGTCCATGAATTCTTCCTTTCTCAGCACGTGTTCCTCACTAGAAGAAAATGCTGTTACCTTTAAGCTTTGTCAAAATTTACATTAAAATACTTGTATGAGGACTGTGACGTTATGTTTCAAAAAGAAAAAAAAAGGTGTTAAGTCACAAAATGCGGTAATAAATATTTCATTTTTGATTTTTTGTTAGGCTTTTGTGTTTTTAATTATGTTTAGGAGAATGTGAAGTTATCATGAGAGATGTCTTGAACACATTTTTTATCAGCATTGAGAAGAAAGGTTGGAAAAATCAGAAACAAGCTTGTCATTGCATTAATAGAATAGTTGAATGAAAGGACATCTGAGGTTATATATTTCTGCTGATTATTGATATTAGATTTATGCCAGACTAAGCAAAATCTGAAATATTGTCTCACCAGCTTGCATTTCAGAGAGATGTGTCTAATATCCATACTATCTGCTAATAACATATTAGCTGAGTTTGAGTTGTGAAGGTCCAGACATGAGACAACTAATCCTATGTGTGTTATATGTATGTGTGTGTGCATTCATAACTACCACAGACATTAACTGCAGGTATTTAGCTCAGAGGGGAAGAATGGCCTTATTGCAGGAGTAGGTTTGAAAGTTTTAGGAGGAGAAAAGAAGCTTTGAGTTTAATGGGAATTTTTTCTGTGCGAGGGTTGTGTAATCTAGCTTTTGAGATGGTTTTTACTGCTTTTCTTGTCTTCAGTTGTTTTCAGAAGAAAAAAAACAACCAAACAAAAAAACCCAAAACAACAAACCATCAGCTAATGAGGGAAAATGTTGATTTGACATTTTGTATATTAATAGCTGGAGCAGAATCATGGGTGAAGGTTTGGTTTTGCTTAAACAAAAACTTATGGCATTTTGAAGCAACTAAAGGAGAGTTTGAAATAGGAAGACGCGCAGCCTCTCACTGTCCTCGGTGGCACGGTTAAGTCAGCAAGAGCAGGATGGGGCCCAAAGAGCAGGGGAAAACTGCCTTTATTTCTGGGAGATGAGGAGTGAGAAAGGGCTTGTAATTACCTCAACTTTCTAGGAAACAAAAATTACTGACTTCAACATCTGTAAATTTGTAACCCTTCTCCTTCCTCCTCCTCGTCATTCCCACTGGCCGGGGTGTTATTGAAAACTTTGAGTGACAACTTTTACTTCTGGAATGTGGAAAGAGGCTCAACCTCATAGTGAATGTTTGATTTCTGAGCTGAGTAAATGGACCCACGCTGCTCGCGACAGAAGGGAGGATGCCAGTAGAATGGGTGTGAGGATTTATTTAGCACTCGGGTCCTGTTTTGTGGGCATCTTTTATAGGGCATTCATATGAAATTAAGATGATAATTCCCTGCTCGGCTTTGATACTCTCTGTCGTGGTTAAAATCACATCAATCCTTCAGTCATGTGAGAAGAGCACACCCTGGGTTCCCATTTCCAAATTCTCTGATTTTTGTGGATGCGGAAAACATGAAGGCAAGATATTTGTGTTAACACTTTAAAGGGGAGGCTTTCAGGTTTTTAATCAGGACTTTATTTCCTTTCAGATCTTTTCCCTACAATTTGAGGAGAAATGTTAGAAAAGGTCCTCGCACTGGTAGAAGGACGGGGAAGAATTTCTCCACAGTAGATTACTTGTTTTTATAATGAACTAAATATGTGCATTGCTGTGTTGTTTTTTATTTTCTTTCTTTTTTTTTTTTTTTTCTCACCCTTTTGGGCTGTGCTTTCCGTGAAATGTCTTGCTGAAATCCAAGGTACAATATCGTGCAGAGATTTCTCCATCTGAGATTTACTGTTTAGCATGGAAGGTTCCGATTTTGTTATTTTTAAGAACCTCTCAGCTGTCAAAAGCAAACAAAACGGGAATAATGTTTTGACAGCGGTATAGTGTTAAAGAAAATACTCGAATCTGAATAAAAATTGCTTATGCTGTGGGAAAAGAAGGGTAACAGAAGAAACACCTTTTGTTTACATACACACATGTTTATAATCCCAAATTTCCATTTCGCCGATCGGGTCTGGGCTGGGACTTGTAGTCACCATAAATGAGGGATTTTTCTTCCAGATTTTGCTGCCTTTAAAACGAAGAGAGGAGGGGAGCGCACCTCCGGCAGCGCTGCCGCCCGAGCCCTGCCCGTCGCGGCGAGCGGGCACGGCGGGGCCGAAGAGGAGATGCCGGGGGGAGCCGGGCGTGCCCCCCTTTCACTCATAGCCGCAGAGAGAGCGAGGGAGAGAGAATTGCCCCCAACCAGGTTTGCGAGGGTCAGGGGTGGGGGGTGGGGATGGGTCGGGGCCGGGCCGGGCAGGGAAAGGGGTGCGGCGGGGTCACAGGCTGGACCCGTTCTCCCGGTAGGTTTCGCCCATCCCTCCAGCGGCTCCCTAGGCTTCCCGGGGGGAGTAAGGGTCTCCTGGCGGCACCTTTGCGGAGGCCGGTCCGGAGCCACTAGCCCCACTATAGCCCTGATGCGTGTGCTGTGAAGAAATCCCATGGAGCCCGGAAAACGCCCGAATCTTTTTCCCCGGCGCGACCGCATCGCCGCGGTGCGCGGAGTGGCAAGAGAGGGCTCCACTGCGTGGGAGGGTGTCTGTGCCCCACAAATCTCTCCTACCACGTCCCTGGATTCAGCTGACAGGAAATTGGGCCGGATTTTTAACTCTCCTGACAGCATTTGGGGAAAAATCAACCCCGCTGGCGCTGCGCGGAAGCGAGCCAGCTCCAGGTTGGGCAGCCCAGCCGCTAAGGGATGAGCAGGACCGGGCGAGATGAGAGGAGGGTGGGGGCAAGGGTTGCAGGCAGATTTTAATATTAATAGTTTTGGAGGAGAGAAAGAGACAGACAGAAGGGAGGTTGTTCCTCTGGGCAGAGTCTCTGCGACAGTGATGATGGATGACCCCGCACGGCTAAACAACTCCTCCCCTTCATCCCCACACGGTGTCAAACCTACTTTACTTGCAGCTTTAGGAATAATAATAATAATAATAATAATAATAATAATAATAATAATAATAATAA